ACCGTGTCTTCTGCCGGTGTAGCTCTCCTCGAGCTACGGCCTGCTTGAGCCCTTACGTCCCGCGTGTTTGCGTCGCGCCGGGCCTGCCCTGACACTCTGGTACCTGCCCCCAGCTGCCTCCCTTATAACTGACTCTAGTTGGGTTTTTTTTTCTACGCCCTCCTGGGAGAATTGTCAGTCTGCTAAATTATTTTGTGTTACTGTCGATGCGTCCTGACCCCGGCCTTCCAACACCGTAGCCGTTAACCCGGGCACGGCCGGCAGCGTTGCCCGGCTCCGGCGTGAGCTTGAGCGCTGCAAGCGACAGGTCCGTTCAGCTTCACGTGTCGGCCCAGGGACGGTGAAGCAGGAGCTGCTCTTCCCGGCTGCCGGCGAGCACCCGTTTCCCCCGGTCGCCCTGCCCGCCCTCGGGGCCATCGAGGTTTGGAGCGGTGAGGGCAGCTCTGCGGTTCTTCTGTACGTTGATTCCAAGTCTCCCCCTGAGCCCCGAGCAGCAGCTGCTGCGTGGACACTTTTGTCTTCACCGGCTCGTTCAGAAAAGCGGAAAGCCGTAGAGCCACAGAGGAAGATTAGGCGAGATTAATCATTATGACAAGAGCTAAAAGGAGAGCATTACAACAAAGCTTAGCGTGGCGTACAGAGCAGGCAGCTGGTTGAAATTCAGGCGTAGCGGGTTTGGGTTGGATTTACAGTGAGATTTGAAGCGGTTTCTGCCTTGTCATGACCTCATCAGCGCCTTGCAGCCGGGGCCTCCCACGCAGGCAGCCTCCTCCCGCAGCTCGTGTTTTGCGGAGGTTTAAGAGCAAGGAGAGCCGCTGCGAAGCCACGTTGTTCTCCGCAGGTCGTCCCGTGCTGAGTAGAAGCTGGTGTCACCAGCACTCAAAACGCCTGCTGTTTCGGGTGACTCGGAATTCTGTTGGCCGTAATCCTGATAAGTCCGGCCCTGTGAGAAATGAAAATTCGGTTAAAACTTCCTTGACGGGTAAAGGGATGGAGGCAAAGTGAGCGTGGAGAGGGAAATGGCAGTGAAGGTGTAGCAGAGCTGGAGATGGGAGATAAGAGTTGATGGAAGTGCGAGAGAAGAGAGGACAGAGAAGCAGAGGAGGTGAGATAATGGATACAGAGTGCTTAGCTGTGGGCTGAGATATCGCTGCGCCGAGGCAGTACGTACAGACCTCAGCAACGTGCCAAAAATTCATACAATGGCGTTTTTTTTTCAGGTGGCGTAGCTGGAACCAAGAGATGAAAGCAAATCCCTCTGGAATACCTGCGCTAGCTCTTCCTCGCGTGAAACGGGAAAGTTCCTGAGCAGCACGAGACGGAGGAAGCTCTGATCCCGTCACCCGAAGCCAGCCTCCACTTTTCCACCCGTGCTTCCGCATTCCCGCAGACGCGAGCAGGGCTAAGGATTGGGTTAGGATGAGGAAAAGCTCCGCGTTGCCGGATGGGACGTGCTCGAGGCGCGGAGGGGAGAGGAACGTGAAGGAGGCCGCAGACGGCTGGGCAAGGTCACCCAGCTGTTAACAGAAGTGCCGCGATCCAGGCGCATGTCTCAGGAAAGGCACCTCTCGTCCCTGCCGGAGACACACGCCACGTGAGGCCTGTTGACTGTTGTATAATAAATATGAGTCATATGAATCCTAAGAGATACCCTATGGTTTAATCAAGGACAATTTGTCCGTAGCGTGGCTGATAACCAGGTCAAACCCCAATGTTACTGCAAGAAAGGGGACTTGACTTTCCAAAGGGAGATCGATATTTTCAAGGCTTGTTTGAGAAGCAGTCTCCACAGACGTAGAAGGGCTGGAGCACACTTAGTCAACAATTTACATTAACCTGTAAGGAGCGAGTAGAGGATAAACGAAGTTGTGTTCAAATTTGTTCTTTGCAGTGAAGGAAGAAACAGAAAAGTGTCCGGTTAAATGATAAGGTGTTACCCAGCAAGCAAAAATGTGAGAAATAGGTGTTTTCTGGTTAACACTGAAGGCTGTGCCTGTTATCTGTTTATTAGCATCCTTAATTTGTATAAGAGATGGTTTCAGCTGGTCATTGTGGTACATCACGCAGTTACTTTATTAGGTGAAAGACTCAAAAGCCGATATCCAACGGGCGCCGTGAGCGAAAATGACTGAAAATGGGTAAGTGTTCACATGACACCAAAGCACCAAATTTGGAGCGTGCGCACCAGCTGAGCTGTTCTGGGTCAGCAGAGCGCTCGTGGCTTAGGGCAAAGCTGGCAGAAAGGAGTAAAACGTTTTCGCTAAGGAGCGTTCAGCTACAGAGCCAGCTTCCGAAGCAGCTTAGGTCAGTTGGAAGTCTTTCTACCCCGAGGAAATGAAGGGGTAATCCAGAAAGTGTTTTGGAGTGAAATGGAAACTTTCCGGAGGCTGCTATCGATGCAGGACCTCGTTAGTGCAGCTGATGTTGTTTGCGGCTCCTTGGGCTCGGAAGTGGAGGGTGGCGGCGTAAGACTAGAGAGCAAATTAACGGACAGTCAGTGAAAGGTTAAAAAACCCCCTCGTGCAAAGTCGATCTGGGCAATCCCAATCCTTCGTCAGATTTCACCTTTTGTTTATTTGCTGGCCGAGGTCATTTGTGGTTTTGGTTGAACGTTCCTTCTGAGCCCAGGAGTCAAATGAAATTTGGAGCGTTTCCCACCAGAAGGAAAAAAAAAAAATTGATTGTGCCGTTCTTTCTTTTAACGTGATGCTATTTGCTTTCAAGACAATGGTATCTGCGTTCCTCAGCGGGGAGGGATTCAGATGACAGAAGAGCCTTTCTCGGAACCCCGGCCATCTTTTAATGGGGAGTTTATCAGAAAGCACCGTTTCTCTCAGCTCTTCTCGGCACCGTGTCACAGACGTACCTCTGGCTGGCTGGCGGCTCCCCAGCCCCACAAGCGAGCCGCAACCGAACCAGTTCTGCTTCTGCACTTGCCCTTGTACAGCTAGGAAGCTTTGTGGTCCGTGTGGTCCAGCCGCTATCTAGGCAGCCCGGTCAGAGAATAACGTTCGCTGATTTAGCGACCACAGACCGAGGCCACCAAAGGCGTTAAGTCACAGTCTGGGGTCACCCACGGGAGGTAGAGAGCGCTGGCCTGACCCCCCGGAAGGTCCTACCCACCCAAGGCAAAAGTCCGCCCACCACCGGCTCAGCAAGGATCAGCCTACATCTCGGGGGGCTTCCTCGGTAACTTAATCAAATATTCTTGCATCAGATCGTAGGAGTTTTGACACCTCGGGAGCCTCAAACCGGACCTCTCTGCCTTTGTGCCTTTCATCTGACGGTTCCGATAAAGCAACTGTGTGATGTATGATAACGCCTTTATGGGAGGGACAGGAAAGACCGGGAACAGGGACTGGAAAACAAGTTTGCTTCCTTAATCTGCAGTTCCTAAGATAAGGTATATCTCAATAAGGTGATTTTTTCCAGGCTGAACTTTTCAAGCCCGCACAGATAAAGTTAAGGCGGTTCCTGAGCTTAGTCAGCAAAGTCCTTTGCCATATGGAAAGCCTGAAAATTCGTATACGGTCCTGTTTGGCCCAGGGGGTGAGCCCTGTGACGGTTAAATGCATCCTGAGTGGCGTTGCCTAATCTTGTACGGTTCCCATTGAGACTTTCAGGCACCTGGCCGCCAGGATTGATCGTATAATTTGCAACAGTCTCCCGGCCTTGCGGCCGTTGCATTCCTGACAGGGATCCACACGGGGGGATTGATTTATTTGCCGCTCAGGGCCCATCTTAGAGCCAAGGCAGCTTTTGGAGGTGCCCATCTCCTGTCGTTCGTGACCTAGATTGCTCAGGGTGTCATATGGGTTACCTCCAGTGCACCTCGTGTAGCCTTTAGAGGGGCTGTCTCTTTACACACGAATTGCTGCCAATCGCTGGAAGCAGCAAAGCATAAAACTTTCCTGTCACCAGTCCCCCACCGCCTCAGCCGCGGCCCTTCTCTGCAGGGGAGGGTCAAGGTCACCACCCAACTCTTTTGCCTTTGCGGTCAACCACAACCGCTTCAACCACCAACTGTCCTCCACCCGCCAAGCAGCCCCTCTGGGGCTGCCGGGTGCTCCGTACGAGTCATTTAATGGCTCTGCATAGCCCAAGCCCATCGTCAGCCCCGGTAGAGCCTCTGCACGCCGGGGGTCAAATCCAGCCTTACTCGGGCATCAAAACAACAGACATTGAAATCTTAAATTTTCTGGGCACAAGCGTAACTCTCCGGGGATTTTATTGAACAGGAATCCTACCCCAGCCGCAGCTGCATCAGGAACAGGCAAACCAGGACTAAAAGCCTCCAGATCCATCCCTCCAGCTGGTCTTCATCTGCTTTTGGAGAGCACGGCGGGGATCTCCGCATCGTTTGGTGCCCTCTGCCGCCAAGCAGAGCTACAACAGAGCGGCCACCCTCTGCCACCCAACCCTGAGCCCAGCACGCCCCAGCGCCCAGCCTGTGCCCCGCCGTGTGCCGCAGACGCTGCCTGCTCCCTGCCCTCCCCTCAGCCGCCTGCTCTGCCGCGGTGGGGATGCAGGGGAGTTGTGTTTCGAGCTCTTCGCATCTTGGTTTTGAATTTCCTCAGGGTTCCCCGCTCCCTCTGAGGGCGAAGGGCAGATTCTTCCAGAATCCGCCGTGTCTCGTTCCCTCCATTTCTCTACCGAGGTTGGAAATACCCAGGTCAGCAACCAGACCGTTGACCTGAGCCTGGCTCCTTTTTGTGCTACACCCCCTTTCGACAGCATCCCGAGCCTGGCCGTCCCCGGCATCGCTGCCTCCGGAGCCATCCCCCTCTTTACCAACACAACGAACCCACCGGGCTGTTTGTGCTGCTGATTCCCCCCCTCCCATCCCAGGGCACGAGGCTGGAAGGATGTTAAGTGACAGACGGGGGTCACACCAGATCTGCCACCAAACTCCCAAGGGTCTGACGTTCCCCGGAGGGCTCTGAAAACCGTAATAATAAAGGCTGAAGGGAGCCTGGGTGGAAAGGGCTCGGAAAAAGAGGTGCAGCCACGGAATCACGCTGTCACCAGCGCAGGGACGCTCGGTGCGATAGGAGAGGTCTGAAAGCCGGCTGTCCTGCCAGGCAGCTGGCTTCGGCCGCCTCACTGCAGTGGACCTGCCCTGGGGGGATCAGGGGCCAAGAGCCAGGTCCTGGAGGGAGAGGACACACATCTCTGGAGCCATCAAGCGTGAGCCGCTACCGCTTCCAGCCCGGGAAAGACCAAGCCCGTATGTTTCTCCAGCAAAATCCTTCCCCCAGGAATTAGCCGTCAGGATCGAAGGGAGCGGCGATGCCAAGTCGGTGTTGAGAGCTGCGCAGTGCCCAGGGCAGGGGGCTGGCTGACCCGCTTTAAACCTTCCCTCCAGTCATCAGATGCGCTTCAGGGCTTCTCGTCTGAGAAAGCGTCTCCGTAGCCCTGTCGGAAAGTCATTTTGCGCCCTAAAAGTGATTATTTTCCATCCTCCCCCCTTTCTTTTGTTCTTGACTTCAACGGTGCTAAATATTTGTTCTGAGATTTTTCTGGTGCTGAATTCCACAGCTTCTTCGTTCTGTGTATAATGACACATCCAAAAATCAATACCTGTCTGAATACACAGTTTTTCAGTGGCTCCTGGTGATGAGATCTATTGACAGAAGGAGGAGCTTATCCTAAAACTTCCCATAATTTGACAAATTATTTCTTTCCATTGAAAAAATGAAATCCTGCTCCTCAGTGATCACAACTTGGCACGTGGAGCTCAGTTTCAGCAACAATTGCGTGCAGTAAGGGGTCTGCAGATCGGAAAATTGCTTTGAGTCTTCATTACGCGATACAAATCCCTGAATTTGGGATAGAGTTTGGGCGTTCGGAAGAGGCCAGCTCACCTAGAGGCCCGTATATCAGCACAGAAACACAGGATGCAGCTTTTTACCCGAACGGAGCAGGCGTTCCGCTGCTGCAGCTTCTTTAGGCCATTTGCCGCTCTGGGCAAGGGAGCTTTGGTCGTTGGCAAACCCATCGCTGCCAGGGCGACCGAGTTACAGAATAAAACAAGTTCTGTTTCCCTAACATTACAAAACAAGTTACATTTTGCTAAAACGCTGGTCCTGAGCGTGAGGCTTTTCCAGTTTGTTTTTTAAATACAAGGAGAGCATTCACCCCAAACCTCCTCTTTGCCCGGGAAAGAGGTTAGTCCCTGCCTTCCGTGCCCAGAGAGGTTTATGTTATGTCTGAATGTGCTGACTGGCGAAAAAAAAAAAAAAAAGAAATTGATAAACAGCTCTTGAGAAACTTGTCATTGTCGTTGCCTCTAATGTTCTGGCAAAAAAAGCGCAGAACAGCGGCCCCGAAAGCAAGGGAGACCAGGTTGAAGTGAGGTGTGACAGCGAGTCCAGACTTCAGTCCCCGAAGCCCAACTCACTGACTTGCTCCGAAGGAAGAATTTTGCACTTGAAATGTTAGTGCCCTTCAGCTTTCCATTTCTCAGGGACGTTTCTCTGCTCGCTGCCAAAATGGATGCAGGATGAGCATCGGTGCAGGAGGACGCCTTGGAGGCAGCTCACCCCTACGTCGCCCCACCCTGAGCAGATACATTCTGCCGAACGGACGTCCCAGCTAACGCCTTTCCCCCGAATAGAGGAAAGCCCACCCTGGC